GGTATATGATCTAAAAATACCGTTAAAGATAACCGAATATATCCACAGGTATTTGGGGTGTAGGCGTAGCGTCACGTGACGTGTGTCTGGACAAACCCCCTCTTGGGTCCTGTACCAACAGTTGGCTGCTTAGACACGATGGTACCTGTTGGCATGCCAACGAACCTATATCTACTCTTTCTATAGTTCCTTCTGAAGGAGACATTATTGTAAGTTACAGATTTTGTTATTTTTGTCAACAAATAAAACCCCGATTTAACGCGCCACGACTTACTGTGATTGTTCCTTTCCCACACTCCGCGGCATATCAATCATTTGATAATAAAATAACTTAATGTTTGGCAGGGAGTCACATTCGACCACGTGCAGCTACAGTTTTACGTTAACGGGAAGCTGGCTGACGGCTGTGTTGCCTCCAATCTTCACACACTTGTGTATCCATGCTTTTACGGTGAGTGCTCATTCTCCACACACTTGTGTATCCATGCTTTTACGGTGAGTGCTCATTCTCCACACACTTGTGTATCCATGCTTTTACGGTGAGTGCTCATTAAAAGTCTCCACACACTTGTGTATCCATGCTTTTACGGTGAGTGCTCATTAAAAGTTAATCTCCACACACTTGTGTATCCATGCTTTTACGGTGAGTGCTCATTAAAAGTTAATCTCCACACTTGTATATCCATGCTTTTACGGTGAGTGCTCATTAAAAGTTGATCAATTGATATACTGATACATTTTTCGGATTATTGCGTTCGAGACTTGAAACATTTTCGATGAACATAGAAATTTGCACATAGATAACTTGCATGAATTAAACGAAATCAAAGACATAGCTGCATGCAACAGATGTTGGGAAAATCTGTTTCAAGGGTACAGTTTACCGCATTAAGGTATTTTTATGAATCATTCTTGTCGATAAGATCCTGTTTTATAATAATAATTCTTCAGTTGACGATGGCGCTATTATCGACGTTAACTTCGAGAAGTTTTACTACGAGCCTCCTCAAGGGTACTCCTGTATCATGAAGGAACAAGATATGTTATAATCAACAGATCTTGATACCAGTGGGGAGGTGAACCATGTTATTTCTGACACGTGATCGTGTTATTTCTGACACGTGCTCGCGTTATTTCTGACACGTGATCGCGTTATTTCTGACACGTGATCGCGTTATTCTGACACGTGACCGCGTTATTTCTGACACGTGATCGCGTTATATCTGACACGTGATGAATTATGAACAGCTTTGACCGATCAACACGGGGAATCACTGTCACGTGTCAAATCAAATATGGTTCACCTCTCCACCAGTACCCAAATATATGAGGATGGGTAGTTCTAATTAAATCTGAGGAGTTTAAAGTAGATTTGTGGGATTTGTTTGTATAACCGGGGGTAAATGGTCGGAGATGTGCGCTGTGGAACGCAGAATTAATTGCTATTCGAATAATTAATATAATTTAAATTTATGTGTAATTGTATTCTGTACATATTTTGTTTTAGTATAGATACACCGATGTTATACAATATATATTATATTTGCTGTGAGTGGTTACTTTTATCAACTGAACTTACTTAATCACGATTTATTTAAAACGAGTCAAGTGTAAATTTCGAATTTCGAGTAGATTTAGTTATTCATATTGTATGAGTTAGGTGCTTTCATTAAATAATAGTTCATGTCGCTGTTGTGTTAAAAATTATTATTAAAATTGAAAATAAAGTTATATAGAAGAGATGTATAAATAAGGTCAAGAGATTCAGAGACAATGTTCAATCAGATTGCTTTAATATGCAAATATGCAAATATGCAAATATGGAATCATCCTCCCTGTTCCCCGAACCCCACCTTTCCTCTGTCGACCAAATTTAGTCTGATCTCTTACTTTTGATTCAACAATATTCGGATAGTGCAACTTAGTTTTGGTTTTATGGTTTCCGCCGACAACGTAGTAAATTCTAAATGATATTTTTGGACGTTTCTCATAATATCTAGAATATGACATACGAGATATTAATTTTCGATAAATTCATCACCTGTCAGCCATCATTGATAAGCTAATTTATTAATTGTAATTTTTGTTTTCAGAATTTTGATTCTTCGGAGTGGGACCTATACGAAAGGCGTTTTAAAAGTTTTCTAGCTGCTATATATAGAAAATGTAGTTGATGCTGCTAGGTATTATAGCTAATGCTGTTAGAAATCGCCATAAATATTTCTTGATGTGAAACATACAGTAGAGGGTCGTTCATTTAATTTCTCATTCCCGGAAAATCCCATTTAATTATTTGTAAATCAAGTTGGAGTTTAAGTCTAACAGTAGGTGACAATTTCAGTATAAAAATCTAATAAAATGCCAATACTTTTGCAAAACTAAGAACACAACTTCTTAATTTGGATTTAAATTGAATGCAATGACGGTGAAAAGTAGAATAATTATTTTTTTGTTCGCAGAAACGTTTGCTTCATTCTGATTCAATTCTATTGTACATAGTAATCGTCTTTTAATTTGTCATTCTATCGGTGGGTTGTCAAAATCTAAACTAAACAAAGGCTTGAGGTTGTGCGCTGTTAAATTGTGACCCGATACTCCGTACAAACCAGTTGATCATTGATGCTACTCTATCGTAGATTTTGGTTTATAATCGGAATCCAGCATCATGATGATGATACCTTGGAATCACGTGATTGGTAAAGGTAGCTAGCAGAGTCACGGGGTGCCCCACCAGTTTGATATTAAATGGTCACAATATTTTGTTGAGTAGATTGAGATAATTAATATCCCGGTTAAGGAATGGTAAGGCTAGCGTAAAGTCTATGTAATTATGAATTAGCGCCATGAGTTGGCACAGAATTTGTTGTCTGATGATTAATCACTCTACACTCGACTGTCACGTGACTTTTTCAACACGTTCTCTAGCTGATCCTGGACGACTATTCGAAACCCTAACCCTCTATTGCTCTAATCTGATACCAACCCTAACCTTGCTCTATCCAGAGCCCTTGCGCTTGCAGTAGCGCGCGCCCGCCTTTCTTGACTTCTGAAACAAGCGCGCCCACAGGGGGAGCTGAAACCAGGTTTTCGATCAAACGCTGCCATGTGTAGTCAAACGTTGCCAAAAGTTGCTCTCGTCCATGAATGAAATCGCTGCATTATGTAAGCTAAGCTCCGCATAGGAATATATGTAATTCAATTATGCATACTAACTTGAAAAATGCAGCGATTTCATTGGACGAGAGCAACTGTTGGCGACGTTTGACTACAAATGGCAGCATTTGATCGAAAACCTGGTTTCAGACCCCCCCCTAGCTGTGCGCCCGAAGTGGTGCGAAAGCACATCATGGTTAGGTGAAACCCTAACCACTAACCCTAACCCAATCCTTAACAAAAGCATATGCTGAAACCCTAACCCTAGCGAGAAATTAGACTAACTTCCTTATACGGTCATATCACGTGATCCGCGAGACAGTTTTTCTCAAATATCTCGTCAGGGGAGCATTTTTCTTTAAATCTTAAAAGATTAGTATAGTAGTAATTGGTAATACAATAGAGGAGCTGAAAGGTTCGTCTCGGTGAGCTGATTACTGATTACGATGCCACAATAGTTCACATAGCCATGTGCCTACGCGTACGCGCGCTACTGCAAGCGAGATCGAGGGCTCTGGTTAGAGCAACCACAATAGTTAAGTGAAAATAACTAAAAATTTGCGCGAAAAAAGCACGAGCAGCGAACAAGCGCCGAACTCATTAACGGGTGATACTCGTAAAATATCTGTTCCATATATATATATATACAGGACCGTCGACGAGTCCAACTCGGCGCGCGTCCTGGTACGTTGTAAACCTACAACGTACTCAGTACTATATGCTTCACCTAACCATGTGCTTTCGCGCCGCTGCGGGCGCGCTTGTTTCACAAGTCAAGAGGCGGGCGCGCGCTACTGCAAGCGCAAGGGCTATGGATAGAGCAACTGTATACTGTAGCATTTTTAGCGAAAATTGCTGCACGGTGGATTTATTTTGTTTACATTTGTACTATTGACTATAAACAACTTTTGGTAAAAATTATTGAAATCGGAGAAAAATTACTTGTGACCTCAGGTTGACGGGTGATACTCGTAAAATATTTGTTTCATGAGTCCACCTCTGAACTCGGCGTTGTCATACGTTGTATGACCCGCCGCGCACGAAGTGCGCGGCTCTCCCTGTATCGTCAGTGAAACGACCGTGGGTGTCACAACGTCAAACGTGATACAACCAAATTTCTATTTGAACATAAATATAATAGTCTGAGGTCCCAAGGTAAGAAAATACTTTGATAATGATATTGATATTGAACAATAATTAGTAAATTGTATCTGGGATTATAATATGTTTTTAGTTGCTCTCTCGCTTGCATGTTGCAGTAGCGCGCGACGCAGTACGCGTAGGCTATGCTGTATGCGAATGTTTTTAGCGCGATTATCACTACTGGGCCGCCTGCCACGCCGCTCATGATCAAACAATGTTTTTTGTATCACGTCGTGACCCACATTGCTGTTTTATTTATAGTGGACGACCCCTTTATCGTTTCTACTATACATGACAGCTGGAAGCCGCGCACTCGAGCGCGGCAGGTTATACAACGTATTCAGTATGACAATGTTTTTTGCAACTAATTTGTCCATTGTTAATGGACTAGCCCGATGCGGCGATGCACACTACTTCGTAGGGCTACTTCGAAGAAATTTAGACGAGTTACATCCGTCAACAACCAATAAAAGACCGATTTGAATGTTGAAACAAATACAAAATATTTTACGAGTATCACCTGTTAACAAATATAAACGGTGTCAGGTTGGTAACTGATGATTCTGATCCATGCTCCTGTGAGTTTGCTGTTGTATCTCAACTTGCTAAACTGAGGCATCTCCGCATCTTGGGTGAATATGCGTACATCTTCATACTAAACCCAGGTGTGGCATGTGTCAGTGAATACGGGCGAGCGGATGCAATAGCGAAGGTGGTGTGGCAAGGCCTAAAAGACACAGTCAGATAGTTGTCAGCTCGCTGACTGTAAGGGAGAAGGTATATCCGTATTTCGCTGCTACTGATGCAGTCCTTGATCTGGCAATCAAGGCTTCTCTGTTTTTCGTCTAACTATGTACCGTTGGGCTTGTGGAACCCGTAAGGGGGACATACATAGGTTAGAATGGTTTTGTGCACCAAGAGGAGTGAGGGAATGAGGGTTGAAGAGAGAGAGCTTGAGAGTTGTTAGGGTGGTTAGGATCAGTAGGTGGAGTGTTTGGTTGGAGCTTTCTGTTTTTGCTGTATAGCATTTTAGTCACTCCGCAGTTTATTAACTGTGTCTCAACTCTGCTTTGTTGAATACTGCTGGGATAGGCCAGCTACCATGGGGTAAGACCCATATGATAAGACAGATAGTATGCCTGGTTTTGGTCTTTAGGTTGGGTAGTGGTCGGAGCCTGCAGCGGATCTGCAATAGAGAAGTCAGACGGGGTCATAAAAGTGGCTACCTCAGCCTACATCGGTACCACGCCTCCTGCTTCTCTAAGGCCCCGGGAGTCTTTATTTAGAGACGAGTTGCCCGGGTTAACAATAAAGGCTTTGTAGGCATCCCTCCACTTACCTGTACTCCGGAAAAGGACAAACTTAGGTAGTCGAGAGTCCTCGACGGTTGAAGCAGGAGAGGGACAGAGTTGTATCTGTGTATGTGGACGTCGGTTTGACACAGTCAAAGGCAGGAATATCCATCGGGGTCGAATGAAGTGCATTTGGGAAGGGGAGTCGTCGGCTGGCAGTATGCCTGTAACTTCGACGGAGGTATCTAGCCAGGAAAACAACCACAGTGCTAGAGATATCCGGGCTCTCCTTGACAAGAGAATTTCAGTCGAACCACCTGCTAGCAAAAGAGACAAGGTGAAGTGGCCGGCGTCCAATGATGGTCGATGGAGTAAGTTTGATGAGTGTGTGGTAGAGAAGTTTGCAGTGGTTCTCAAGCGGAAACCATTTCAAGAGAAGATGGTGAGTCATTGTGATGTAGTGTACGACGAGGGTGTCAAGTTGTTTGGTATTGTTGAAGTAGGTGCTGGTAGTGGAAAGAAGTCCATGAGCTTTAAGAACAGACGAAAGGAGGAGATTGACAGCCTGATTGAAAAGAGGAAGCAGTTGAGGAGGAAGAAAAGGAAGGCAAGGAGTGAGATAGAGAAGGATGGTTATGAGGCATTATTGAGAGTGTTGGCTGGTCGTTTGATGAAGTTGAGGAGGGCTGAGAAAAGGAGACAGAAGCAGAGAGAGATAAGGAGAGTTAGAGGGGATTTTGGACGCGACCCTTTCAAGACAGTCAAGGGAGTGCTAAATCCAAGTCCAGTGGGTGAGCTTAAGTGTTCAAAGGAGGAGCTAGATGATCACTTGGCCAGAACATACGGAGATCCAGCCCGGCAGCAGCCCCTTGGTATACTTGAGGGTCTGCCTGAGTGTGCTCCTGAACCCTCTGTTGCCTTTGACCTCACAACGGTATCCAAGAAGGAGTTTGAGGAGGTTGTAAAGAAGGCAAGGAGCAAGAGTGCCCCGGGTAACAACGGGATCCCGTACACAGTGTACAAGAGATGTCCTGGTATTGCCAAGAATCTCTGGGACCTGCTAAGAACTGGATATAAGTTAGAAGAATATCCTGACAATTGTAGGTATTTCGAGGGTGTCTACATCCCAAAGGCGGATGGCGACTTTTCACCAAGTTCAGGACGGCCTATTTCCCTGGGTAACATTCAAGGGAAGATCTATTTGGCGATCCTGGCGAAGAGGTTGACCAGCTTTGTTGTCTCGAATGGATATGTAGACCTCTCTATACAGAAGGGTGGTGTGCCAGGCGTCCGTGGGTGCACGGAGCATTTTGGTGCCATGTGGGAGGTACTGAAGGAGGCAAAGGTCAAGAAGAAGGATCTGAGTGTAGTATGGCTTGACCTGGCTAACGCTTACAGAGCGGTACCCCATGTTCTGATTGCCAGGGCCCTCCGTTTCTACAACGTCCCTGAGAAGGTTATCAACATTATCCTACGGTACTTCTCCGGGGTATTCGGAAGGTTCTCCTCAAGAACGGTGACATCAGACTGGCAGCAGTTTGAGATAGGAATCTTCATGGGGTGTGTGATATCAGTCATCTTGTTTGTCTTGTGCATGAACCTTGGGCATGAACACCTAAAGTCTAAGGTTCCGAGAAGCATTGAGTACATCAAGGATGACACACCAATACCAACTCTGAAGCTGTTTATGGACGATAGCTGTCTGACCACCGCACGTGCAGAAGATATGCAAACGTTACTCAATGTGTTTCAGAAGTATGTGGACTGGTCCAGATTTAAGTTAAAGTCCTCCAAGTCCAGAGCACTGGTGTTGAAGAAGGGAGTGGCTGTGAGGTGGGTTGAGGAGGTAGTGGTAGGAGAGGAGGAGGTGGAGAGAGAGTTGTGTTTGCAGTTGGGTGGTGAGGTGATTCCG